TCTCTCACGAAGAGGGAGTGTATCGTCAGCAGCAACAGCAGCAACAACAACAACAGCAGCAACAGCAGCAGCTTCAGGGGTCTCCTCAGCTGCTGGGTTGCTGCAGCCTCAGCCGGTGGAGGGAAGGCGGCGCAGCTCGACTATGACTCCGGGTGTACAGGCACCTCATTTCTCAGCAGCAGCAGCAGCAGCAGCAGCAGAAGCTACAGCAGGACTTCGTTATCCTTTCTGTGGTTCTGCTGCTGCTGGTGCTGCTGCTGTGGGTGCAGCAAAGGGGCTGCCTTCTGGTGTGCATTCACCGCGTGCTGCAGGAGTAAGCAGCAAGAGCAGCAGCAGCAGCAGCAGCAGCAAATGCCGCAGCAGCAGCAGTAGCAGCAACTCTGTGAGGGTAGGAGCCGGAGCAACAGCAGCAGCAGCAACAGCAGCAGCAGCAGCAGGGACTTCATATGGTGTCTCCTTTCAAAGCCCTCTGTCTCCGTCTGGGGAGACAGTTAGGAAGCCCCGTCTCCCCCGCCTCAGCGAGGGCCTCTGGCACTGGGCGCTGCAGCCAGAAGACCCCTCTGCTGCTGCTGCTGCTGCTGCTTCTGCTGCACCGCCAGCAGCAGCAGCAGCAACTGCAGCAAAGCTAGGGACAGCCGCAGCAGGGTTTATGTCAGGGGCCTCCACTGCTGCTTCCGCCTGGACCTCTTCAGGCCTGTCTCCTTTTGACCCTCACACCCTATCTGGAGACTACCAGCAGCAGCAGCAGCAGCAGCAGCAGCAGGGTTTCAGGCCTCCGGAGGCCCCGCAGCAGCAAATGCATCGAAGGGCCTCCGACTCGGGGGCCCTACGCAGAGGGCTGTCTTTCTATACCCAGTACCGCCCACTGTCTTTTTACTCGGGTCAGCAGCAGCAGCAGCAGCAGCAGCAGCCGCAGATACCTGCGGCGGAAGCTGCAGCAAATCTGGGGGTTGCTGCAGACCCAGTTGGCTGGGGCACCTTCCTGCGTCCTGCCCCCAATCTGTAGTTTAAGGTGCTAGCTAGACAGCTAGCTAGCTAGCTAGCTAGACTGCTAGGCAGCTCGCTAGACAGCTAGCTCGCTGGACAGTCAGCTAGCTGGCTAGGCTGCTAGCTAGCTAGCTAGCTAGCTAGCTAGGTCACTTTCTAGACTGCTAGGTAGCTAACTAGACTGTTAGCTAGCTAGACAGCTAACTAGCTAGCTAGCTCGTCAGCTAGGTAGCTCGCTACAGCTAGCTAGCTAGCTAGCGGGTTAGCTAGCTAGGCAGTGTGAATGGCGGTAGAGGCCTTCGTTCTGCTGTCTGTCTCTCTGCATCTGCTGTGGTATTCAGGTGTATAGGCAGCTGCACTTTCATTTAAATATAAACCCTTTTGTCTTTGTCTCCATCTTTGTCGTCTGTCGCTCCTATGGGTGCATCCCCCTAGCTAGCTAGCCAACTCGTTGGCTAGCCAGATAGCTAGCTAGCCAGCTAGCTGTCTAGCTAGCGGACTGCTCTGCTATCTAGCTATCTATCTAGCTAGCTAGCTAGCTAGCTAGATAGCGCAGTGGGTAGCCTCTGACCACAGGCAGAGAGAAGACGGCTACGTATTCGACGTTGACAAACTAGATAGCTAGCTAGCTAGCTAGCCATCTACCTGTGTAGCTAGCTAGACAGCTAGCTAGCTAGATAACCATCTATGCGGGCAGCCAGCTAGCTATGTAGGGGAGGATTGATGCGTCGCCAACGCCGCTGTCAGCTTCCTGAGGTGTACTTTGACGCATCTAGCTAGCCAGCGAGCTAGCCAGCTAGCTAGCTAGCTAGAATGATAGATGGCTAGCTAACGATGCTGTCTCCATTGAGTCTGCTGCTGCGGCGTAAGCAGGGCGGTCATTTGGGGGGTAGCTACAAAGTCCGAACCAGCTGCAGCAACAGCAGCTGCAGCAGCGGCTGCAGCAGCAGCTGCTGCAACAGCAGCAGCAGCAGCAGAAATATATTATCTTTTGTGAAGCAGAGGGACATTAGTTCTGCGGCGCGGTGTCTCCTGTCTACCCACTGGGAAGCAAAAGACAGAGTCAGACAAACTACCCTCGACGCTACGCCCGCCCAGCACAATCAGGCTCCCCTGCAGCAGCAGCAGCAGCAGCAGCAGCAGCAGCAGCAGCAGCGGTAAGAGCAACAAGAGCAGCAAATGCAGCAAAAGAAGCAAAAGGACAGCAGCATTAAAGATGTAGCAGCAGAAAAGCAGCAGCAGCCGCAAATGCACGAAAAATGACAGAACAACAAAAATAGAAAAAAGCTTCAGGCACACTGCAACAGCAGCAGCAGCAGCAGCAGCTACAGCATCAGCAGCAGCAACAGCAGCAGCAGCAGCAGCAGCAACAGCAGCAACAGCTCACCAAGGCGACAGTGCAGGCTGATAACTCAAAGGCATCGGGCCCAACAGACGAAGCCGAAGCAAACACCCATGTCATTGTAAGCAGCTGCAACTCGTACACACAGTCTGCAGCAGCAGCAGCAGCAGCAGCAACAGCAGCACAGAGAAGTGTTGTTGTCATCATGCAAGAAAGACCTAGAGCAGCACTTTATGCTCCTATTCCACCTCAATGCAACCGCAGCAGCAACAGTAGCAACAGCAGAATGCAGCGAGAACCAGGAACAGCAGCAACAGCAGCAGCAACAGCAGCAGCAGCAACAGCAGCAGCAGCGACAGCAGCAGCAGCAACAGCAACCCCTACCTGCGCAGGCCTCGCCTTTGGAGTTGCGGCCCCCATAAATAAAAAGAGAGTCCCTAAATACACCTGCAGAATGCCTGAAGCCGCAACAGCAACAGCAGCAGCAGAAGCAGCAACAGCAGCAGAAGACGCAGCAACGGCAGCAGCAGCTAATGAGGGCTTTATGCAGCACAGCTGCTGCTGCAGCAAGGAACACGACATTCAAGAAACGAAATATAGAAGCCTCAGAAGCAAAAGCAACAGCAGCACCTAAAGCAGCAGCAGCAGCAGCAGCAGAAACAGCAGCAGCAACAGCAGCAACAGCAGCAGCAGCAGCAGCAGCAACGGACCGCATGCGCGGTTCTGGTGGAGATCCCTTCGTGCTGAGGAGACACCAAACCCTTTCTTCTGGGTAGAAGCTATAAACTTCATTGGTCAAGTATACATTGTTGCTGCTGCTGCTGCTGCTGCTGCTGCGGATGCCCCCAAAGACAACAATAGTGCCGCCTACAGGAACATCCTTTGCTGCAGCAGCAAGTTTCTGTTTGACAGCCTCTCGATTCAGTTGCTGCTGCTTCTGCTTCTGCTTCTGCTGCGTCTGCGGGGTCTCCTCCTGGATAACAGCAGCGGGCTTCGTCCTGCTGCTGCTGCTGCTGCTGCTGCTGCTGCTGCACCAGAGCGAAGCTGAGTGCATTGCATGCCCTGGAGCACTAACCTGAGGCCCTGCAGATATCCAAAAGGGTGGAGGCAGCAGCCAAGGCTCCTTCCGCTGTCTCCACTGCAGCTGCAGCAAATCGAAGTACCAGCAGTCCGACAACCTACAGCAGCAGCAGCAGCAACAGCAGCAGCAACAGCAGCAACAGCAGCAGCAACAGCGGATTTCGGGTTCACTTTATCTCAGGATCAAACTGCTACCATCAGGCGCTAAATGAGCTAGTGTGCTGGAGCTCTTGCCGGTGCATGCTTTGCTGCTGCTGCTGCTTCTGCTGCTGCTTACACTCTCCCCTGAGCATCGATGCCCCCGTAGAGTACCAACACGAGGCCCTCCGCTGGCGGCCTGAAGAGGGTTAAACTCATGAAGCAGCGCGGGCTAGGCCCTGTGCTACTCTCAGCAGCAGCAGCAGCAGCAGCAGCAGCAGCAGGTGCTGCTGCTGCTGCTGCTGCTGGTTGTGCAGGGGGTTTGGCGGGACCCCCAGAGAGATCCTGCTGCAGCCCCGGCAGCAGCTGCAGCCAGCTGTCTCCTTCCGTTGAGTAGACCCATACATCACTCATTAGGTGCTGCTGCAGCAGCTGCTGCTGCCTTTGTCTTACGAACTGCTGTAAGCGCTGCTGCTGCAGCAACTTCTGCTGCCGTTGCTGCTGCCGCTTCTCCTGCTGCAGCAGCTGCTGCGACTCTGCTGCAGCGCTGTCTAGAGCTGCACGTGATCGCTGCAGCTGGCGAAGCGTCTGTTCCCTCTCTGTAGCAAGCTGCTGCTGCTGCTGCTGCTCCTCTTCCTGCTGCTGCTGCTGCTGCTGCTGCGGCCGATGCTGCTGCTGTAGGTGGAGTGTGGGTGCGCTGTTGCAGCGTTTAGCAGCACTATTCTTTCTGCGTTTTCTTTTGAAGACTTGTTTCGCTGTGGTTGCTGAGGTGTATCGGCAGCTCGCAGCAGCAGCAGGAGCAGGAGCAGCAGCAGCAGCTGCTGCTGCTGGAAGAAGAACAACCCCACCAAACACCACCAAAAAAGAAGCAGCAGAGACAGCACAATGTCCGTAGCGACCAGAGGGCCGGGGCCCTCTCTTTCCTACTTCTGTCCAAAAACGAACACCTGCACATACACCCCAAACCCTAAACCCTAAACCCTAAACCCTAAACCCTAAAACGCGAAGCAGCACCTCGTCAGAAGCGCCGCAAAAATAACGTCATACTATGCTACAAAATAATGCACCAAGGTTTAGGGGTTTAAGGTTTACGAATTAAACACGAGGGCTTAGGGTTTAGGGTTTAGGGTTTAGGGTTTAGGGTTTAGGGTTACAGCGCAAGGGGGGGTTTCTGAGAGCAGGTACAGCACCGAGATTCGCGCTGGGGTCTGTAAGCAGCAAACAAAAACAACAAAATAATAAACTAAATAAATAAATAAATAAATAAACTAAATAAATATATATATCTATATATATCTATATATATCTATATATATATATATATACACTCCGGCAGAAAAGATATACATAACATATAAATATAAATATAAATAATAATATAATATAACATAATATATAATAATATAATATAATAGTATAACATAATAAAATATAATATTATATTGTATTATAT